TTTATGAAAATTTGTAATTGATTCTTTCTTGAGCGAAAATGGACGGCAAAATATAAACAAAATAATCTTTTCTGGATTATCGATTAAATATATTAACTGCAAATCAAGCTATTTATACATATTTATTATCTTCAATTTTTTTTTTTTTTTTTTTTTCATGAATTCAATTTTTGAAAATATATGGTAAAGGCAATTATAATATTAGCCATTTCCTTAAAAGCAAACATTCATTGACCGGGCAGCCAGTGCCACTGTCGATTGAATTTCATAAAACCTTTCACTTAAAATAAATTTTCAGGAAAATAAATAAGTTTCTCAAGTTCAGTAATTCTTATCGTTCTTTCCAGTGTTGATAGGAGTTTCCTTCATAATCTTTTTGTTTGAATTGGTGTGAAATGTCAAAATCTTGATGCATTTGCTTAATATATATTAGATTTTATATATATATATATATATATATATATATATATATATATATAGGGTGAGATTGATAAATTGTCGTCTAAAATGAAAATAATACTGACATCTCATTTTAACGGATCTATTTACCAAAATTGCACAAAATATCTTGAAATATAAAGAGTAAATTTATTCAGTAAAATCGCCACTGACTTCAACCACTGTCTCCAGACGACTTCGGAATCTCCTGCAACTCTTCTGGACGGTCACCTTGTTTAAGTTAGTGAAAGCTACCATAATCCTTGTCGTCAGTTCATCTTATGTGTTACAAGGAATTTTGTTGGTGTCTCGCTCAACTGCGCCCTACCCATAATAATCAAGAGGGTTGCATTCTGGGGAGTTACGTGGCCAGATGAAAAGAGTTATGTTGTCGCAGAAATTAATTGTCTGACTCGGTTCTGTTGCTTGTGTGGCATGGTGTAGTACTGTTGCCAGACATAGTGTATTCCCGAAACTAGCTTTTTGATACAGGGCAGCACTACCCCCTTAAAACACTTGGTGTAAACCTCCGTGTTAAATCTGAGACTCTCAGCAACAAATTCTGGGGTTATTTTCTGATCAGAGTGATAAGAGTGAGTTTTCCGAGCTGCCGTACCTTCGTAATCACCATTGGACTCATCCAACTCTTTCCGAATCCTCTGCACTGAACCTGTATTAATTGGACATCATATGATCAGGTAGTTTGCAGAATAGGCGCCTCTTGTGTATTGTATACCAGGATGCGTTTGTGTGTATTATACTGTACTACTGGTTCCCAATATATGCGTCTGTTAGGGGTGGCCATCTAATCCCTATTGCAGACACATGCTCAAGCACATTTTTCTTTGTTCAACACCTACTACTGCTTCTACTGGTAATGATAATATTAATGGTGAGATATAGCACACATTCAGAATCAACTGGCCGAAGAGTTAGCGAGATTTTCGCTTTAAATTTCAAAGTTTCTTTTTCCGTCGTTGTTAAAACAGTTTTTGCAAGAAATTAAACTGTTATCGTCTTTTCAAGAATTGATTGATAGATGTTTCCTTTCAAACTTTTTGTTTTTGGTTAGATAGAAAATTAAAGGATTGGAGCAAGAAATAAATATTGCCGACAGTGAGAATGAAGAGAGTAATAAATGTTGCTAACATATCAAATTACCTTTTGTAAACAATTATCAACACCTGCTTATTTTGTATCTATTCTGCAATCTTGTTTCAAATAAAAGGCTTTTAAGCTGAATATAAACTTCTGAAAGCGTTTACTTGTGTATAATCTGATACCTTTTTGTCTTTAATTTTGTTCAAAATTCCGCGTATTATGCACAAAATACGATAATGGGTTATGTCATATAAGCAGATCGATGATTTGGAGAAGAAGCTAGTTTTGTGGACTCTGTATATGGATGCGCGTGTGCGCATTATAATGTACTAATAGTTTCCAGTATATCCATCTGCTAGTGTGGCTAGCTAATCTTTAGTGCAGGATCTACTCAGGCACATTTTGCTTCTTCAACGCCTACAACCAACCTTATACCACAATTATGCTAATCTTGACTATAATTACAACTTCTGAGGGATAAGTTTAATTTAGGCCAGTAGACTCAAACCACCGGTCAGGATGAGTTGATTCACTGCTAGTACAACAATCTAAATAGTGTTCCAACGGTTATCAGCATACAAAATCAAATCAATAAGCAAATTCTGGCTCATACTTCATGCTCTTAGGAAAAATATGAATCCATATTTCTCTGCACTTTGTATATGTGCTAGAAGGGAAGTGTACTGCAGCGTGGTGGACTCTCCCGTCATATTCGACGTATGAGGGTCAAGCAGCTCAATTCCTAGGAACCGACAAATCCAGACACCAGCACATGAGATTTTATAGTGGTGAAGGCTTCGTGCAGAACCAACCACACTTTTTGAAGGACCGAATACAGAGACCTAGCGCACTACATGCGACAAGGTCTCCAAACGACCCTCCGCAGGCTTGTTGAATTATGAGTTGTCCTTCTCTTAGACCAGTTGCCATCCAAGGTTATAGAACCCAGTCTGCCCTGTTATTTACCCTGCTAGGGGAAGAAAAAGAGGATTCATACATTTCCCAAGGGTAGTAGCACGTAAATGAATGTAACTCGGCTCTCCGATTCCTCAATCCGAGCCGCTATCCACTACTCCACCGTGTCGAATTCATTACATTCACTTACGTGCTAATACCCTTCTTCTCAAACGCATCAATTGTAGTCGATATCGATCTCCTATGATGGTTTCGGTTGGTTTGAGCAGATTATAATAAACGACACCAAACTGATCCCACCAAATGCAGAGCAGAAGCTTCGAACCATGGATATTCGACTTTGCTGCCGATGTTGATGCATAGCCGATCATCTACGCTTAGGGTTATTGTAGTGTATCTACTTTTCAACGCCAGTCACGATACGATGTAAAAAGAATTTTCCTTTTCTGCCGTTGAAGCAGCTGTTCACACGTGACAAGATGCCGTTTGACGTCTCTCGGCTTCGATTCGTACGGCACCAAATGTCCTTGCTTTTGAATCATTCCTAATGCTTTCAAACGTTCCGAAACTGTTGTGTGATCAACTCCTAATGATTCTGCAAGTTCAGCTTGCGCCTGACACGTGTCTTCATGAAGAAATGCCTCCAATTCTTCGTCTTCAAACTTTTTCGGTGCGCCAGAGCGTTTTTTATCTTCAACATCAAAATCATTATTTTTGGAGTGCATGTTTCCAAAAGAGCATGGTCGCCGTAAGTCTCAACAAGAATTCTTCAGCTACAAATTTCTTTTGAATAAAGTAGTGCAGTAAAATTCCCCGCAAATAGACTTTATTTGTCAGGAAATCCGACACGTTTAACGCTATGCAAAACAAAGTTGTATACACTTCGGCGAAATGGCATACACTGAAATTCAAGCTTGCTTATAGTACTTCCTCTTAGATGCGTTACCATCTGAAACTACACACACGCAGTTCTGTGAAAGCCATCTGTTGGAAAACACCAAGAATTCATTTAATGTCCTATTATATATATATATATATATATATATATATATATATATATATATATACACACACACAAACACAAACACAAACACACACACACACATATATATATATATATGGGATGATGTTATATAATTTTTTATATATTAAGAACAGTTTTTGTTTATGTTGATGCGACTACATATGTGCATGAATGAGAGATGGTGGGAATCTTAAATTTTGAAAACATTTTTTTTTTTTTGCTGTAAGCGTTCTGAAAACAAAGGAAATATTTGTCGCGGATTACTTCCACAACGTAGAGGACAAATCACTGTAAGTTCAGACTCGAATATCGCGGGCAGAAAGAAATGCCGAAAACTCGATTCGCAGGTACTATCTCACAAATCACATGCACGTAACCAGTCAGAAAAATAACTCATTCTCCGATGAACTCGGTTGCCAAAATACACGAATTTCTCTGTCCCGATTCGAGAACACCAACTGCTTTTATCGGCCGAGCCATTTTTTCCATTCGTCGACAACTGGGAGAGGACGCCCACTTTTTGCATATCAAAATATTTTTATAGCGACTCCTGCGACGGACTTGTTTTTAATTTAAATATTCCGTCATTTTTTTGTTTTTTTTTTTTTTGTTAAGTAATTTGCTTTTTCGCCACATTTCCCGTCGTAGGATACACGCTTGGTTTGACGAGGTAAGTCGCCGTTTTCTTCGCTATATTTACTAATGTGTTTTTGGTTTATATATATATATATATATATATATATATATATATATATATACACAATAGCAGATACGTTCATATATCACCCGGTTTAAGCACCTCCCCGATATTTAGGATAGACGTAGAGTTTTATTCCTTGTTTTGTGTTTAGAATTCGGTTTTCACTTCTTTCCAAAGCCTACGTCAACTCTATACTCCTAACGTCTCCGTTTGAATACTTGAAATTTGATTCGCCAATTAAAACTTAACTTCTAAAGTTAGCCGTTATTATTCCTGTATAGCCCAAGAACTTCACTTCTTGCCCTTACTTACGTTCATACGACACCACACAGTAAAGCTCTACCTTGAGTGGCTCTTGGCCTTTGTATTGGGTGAACATTAGTAAAAAAAAATGCATATATTATAAAAATATATGGATATATTATATGGATATATTGTAATGATTTTGGTATCCAGTATATCAAATACCCCATGGTGTTGAATGTCGCTGCCTGGCATAGTTCACTGCCTCTTGAAATACAGGTAGACAGAGTTCATCAGCCTTGGTTGTCAGTTTTCCCGACGATAGATGGGACTCTTTAGTTACCTTGATGGCAAATTTTACAGGGGTGTTTTAAAACCAGAAAACCTTTTCATATTGTAAGAATTTTGATGGAGATAATGATTTACTGATACGTCCTACTAATTAACCCATAGCTGGGGAGATGATGTGAATTCCTAGCTTTCCCCAGGGTACTTAATAATAATAAACTCAACTGGACTTGGAACATGGCTCTTCGATTTCCAATCTTGTACCGTTATCTAAATACACATCTAAACGCACAGTAACCGGTATTCCCAAGTGCTCACTCCTCTAGGTACTGACCAGGCTTGATGTTGCTTAACTTCAGTGATCATATGAGAACTGGTGATATGGCCATAAGCCTGCCTACCAGGAATAGCCAAAATAAGTTAACGTCTTTCTCTATTCTTGTTACAAGATTGTATTTCATACAAAGCAATGCTTTCCAAACCAAGGCCGTCTTGGGTATGACGATAAACTACACCCGCGTCCTGGGTATGATGATAAACTCCGTCCAACAGCAAGGCCTCTGATCAGGAGTTGTGAGGAGCGTTGAACCACTTCTTAGTTGCTGGTGTTCCCAAGTCCATCTTGACCCGGGGTGGTAGCACCTGTTAGGGTCCCAGCTATGGGTAAATAGTTAAGCTCCAAACTGGGGTTAATACACTATGAAGGTGTAAAAATAGGTTTCAATACCAGAAATGCTTTGTAAAAAGTTATTACCAGCAGTAAATTTTTGAAGGACAATTATTACCAGCAATACATTATTACCAGCAATATATTTTTGAAAAAATATTACCAGCTATACATTGAAAAGGAAGAAAATTACCAGCTATGCATTGAAAAAGGAAAAAAAAATACCAGCGATACATTGAAAAGGGAAAAATTTACCAGCTATACATTGAAAAGGAAAAAAATTACCAGCTATACATTGAAAAGGAAAAAAATTACCAGCAATACATTGAAAAGGAAAAAAATTACCAGCTATACATTAAAAAAAAATTACCAGCTATACAATTTTTGGAAAAAATATTACCAGCATTAAAAAATCTTGTTGGCATTAGATAAACAATTGAGATCGATATGCCGTAAGACAAAACAAATCAAACTAAACCAAATCAAGGTCTGATAATTTGTTCGATTCCTTCATATGAAAAATTACATATATTCAGTTGAGACACCTTGATAACAACCCTTCATGTGGCCAACGGCTTCATCCCTGTAATGAGCGTGGATCAGTGGTCAGATTCCGAGTAATGATCGAAAGAAGATTCGGGATCCACCGACGTCACATTTTTCCCGATGAGAATCATGGGTTTAATGTCTATAATCTGTGAAAAAAATTATAATAATCATATGTTAATATATTTGTCTCTTTTTCCCCATTCTAGGTATGCACCAAATTATATATCTCAACCAAATTAGCAGTCTCTTTCGCATACGCTTCCTGTCTGTTCCTACTGAAACGATATCAATTTGGCAAAAAAATAAGGAAGAACACCAGTCTGGATTACTTTCTATTCTTTATCTATTCGACAGCTCCAAAAGGCTTCACTTAGCAGCAAAGCCCAAAGATCCCTAGGTTTAAATAAATATTTCTCAGATAAAATCTTACTTTCCTTATCGGCACCAAGCAAACCATAATGGTTTTCTAAACATTCTGGATCCTAAAATAATAAAATCTTCTCCGACCCCAAACAGTTCCGTCCCACAGGCTTTCCAATTTTTCTGTTAATTAACGAGGTCCGGGTAATTCACTATGCATGAAGATCGACATGGTGAAAATATGTAGTGAAGCCTACATTTTGATAATCTCAAATTTCTGTTTCCTTTTTGATCTACTAATGTTCACCCAATATAAATCCCAAGAGCCACTCAAGGTAGAGTGTTAGCGTGTGGTATCATATGAGCGTAAGAAAAGGCAAGAAGTGAAGTGTCGTATGAGCGTAAGAAAATGCAAGAAGTGAAGTGTGGTAAAAGCATAAGAAAATGCAAGAAGTGAAGTGTCGTATGAGCATAAGAAAATGCAAGAAGTGAAGTGTTATATGAAAGTAATAAGAGGCAAGAAGTAAAGTGTCGTGTGAGCGTAAAATGTAAGAAGTGTCGTATGACCGCAAGGAAAGACAAGAAGTGTTGTATGGGCGTAAGAAAAGGTAAGAAGTGAAGTGTTTTATGAGCGTAAGAAAAGACGAGAAGTGTTGTATGAGCGTAAAAAAAAGCAAGAACTGTAGTTATGCAGGAAATATAACAGTTAACCCTAGACTTGAAGTGGCCAAGATTGTAACGATGAGGAAAACATGAGGAGTATGTTCTACAAAGCCGCAGTTCTTAGGAAGAAGCTGTCCGAATGAAAATTACCTTTTACGAATGCAATACAAAATGAACGACTATGATTCACACTTGTATACGTGACGTGGCAGGTCTCAGTTTTAAAGGTCAGAGCTAGTGAGACTAAGGAGTGAAGCACGTCAGAACACATACCATGTAAATAGCGATAGAGTAGCGAAATGCTCGCGACGTTTCGTCTGTGGGAAAGCCGGTGTAGGGTGGAAAATAATTCATCACCCATAAGGCCGTGTAGGTGTTTTGACCTCTATCAAGACATTTAAGTGGGAACTGGGCAACTCCAGTCCAGATTTAGTTATTAGCCGAGCTGTTTGAAATTACAAAGCATGATTTACCAAAATTTAGTCTTTCCTATCTTGGGTGGGATATGCGCGTCACGTAGCGGTTATCGGCGTGAAAAGTGGTACTGGCGTGCCGAGTTCAAATTCGAACCCAAGTCATTGCGCTCGCTTTCTCACAAATACTCGTCTTTTTTATCATACCATCCTATGCAAGATAGTAAAGCCACTTAGACTAAGGTTACTATAGGTGAAAGTGTTGACCATGTTTGTCGTAGTCGCTGAATATGGAATCCAGTGAAGTCCGTAATGTCTTCAATATCAGAGGTTGGCAGTGAAGATTTGGAGAAAGTAGCGGCTGTTAATTCTTTAAGTCTTCGATATCAGAGGTTGGCAGTGAAGATATTTGGGGAGAAAAAAACAAAATGGCTGCCTTTATACACGTCGGATTGAATATTTTGAGCTTTCTGATTGGTTAACCCTTCTATTGGTGAACTATAAAATGAGTCAGCTCATTTTGGTTGGCTCACTAGTACATAGATATATCCAAAAAACTGTAACAGAAAAAATAAAATAAAGTGAAATATCATTAAGGGGCGAGAATAATAGAAGAGTATGCAGGAAAACAGTCTATAACGATTGATATTGCATTTACATTTTTGAAGCTCAAAGTTGGCTGGAAAGCATGGAGCCGGAAGACTGTTCCACAAGTGCCAGAAAAGAAACGGTTACATTTAACCAATTCAACTGGGATCTGATGAGACCTTGCTGCCAATCTAATACTGCTCTTAAATATATAAAGTCGAGGTAACATAACGAAGAGTTCATTTGAACAATTAACATGAAAGTTTTTTTTTTATAGAAAAGTCACGGGGAAGATACATTACGGCGGTGAGGAAGTGACTGAAGCCGAGACGCCAGGTCAGGACCAATAATATTGCTGATTCTTCTTTGGATTTTATCACGAATCTCTAGATATACAACGGGAGCATCGGACCATATGTGGCAGCAATATTGGTAAAGGTACGAATCTATCTCTTTTCACTGACCATCAGCTAAATGATAATAGGTGTTTATCAAAAGGACAACACTGAATTATAAAACCGGTTACCTGTTGGTCTAGCAACTCTCCTTGTAGAAATCTATTTGCTACAGAGACCACGGCAGCGAAAACCAAGGGTGACGCCGGTATGACCCTAAACTCAACAGAAGAGTCTACAGTGGTTAGCATGTATATCTTGAGTATGGATACTTCAGCGGTCATAAAGAATTTTACAGTATGCAAAGATTGACCTCAAATTCACACCTAACCTCAAGAGGAACTTTTATATGCGATACATCGATATAAAGATGGAGGTAAAATGATCGGTTCCCTGTGCTGCTCCAGTAAGTGTCCGACTCCTCATGTTATCCTCCATCTTTATAAAAGCCAGATCAGGCCGGAAATGAAGTACAGTTGTCCTATTTGGGAGTTGCCCAGTCCTCACGTTCCAGTCTTGATAGAGTTTAAAAGCGTCTCCGAGTCCTTGGTGGAGAATAATTATTGTTCATCAACACCCGCCAACCTCTCTCTCTCTCTCTCTCTCTCTCTCTCTCTCACAGGGGGGGTGACCCCCTCACTGCTCTATCGCTACTTCCATGGAAAGTGCTCGGACGAGCTATATTCCTTGGTTCCGCCAGGTCTAACCTTCACGGCTAGGACCCCCCTCCCATGCAACTTACATTGTAGCAAATCACTCACATTCTCTCCGTGTTCCATCGGCGAGAAGTTCCACTTGAACAACTTCTTCCCGCGAGCCACTGCTCTGTGCAACCGACTCCCAATCTTAACCTGTTCAAGTTTAGAGTTAACCGTTATCTTCCCCTCCTGTCCATAACGTAACCTTCACATAACTCTCTACCTCGAGTGGCTCCCAGTCCTTGTTCAGAGTGAACCTTATTGTAAAACAATGACTGTTACCTATACAGAAAGATTGAAAACGCGTTTAGATTTGCTATACACAATATTTTTTAACTTTCTTCCTTCCAGCATGTAATGTAGCTTCACTGTGTCTTTTCTATAGATATTTTCATGGCAATTGTTCTGATGAGCTTTCCCTATTCTTTTTGGTACTATTGTGAATATTCATTGGGGGCTTCATTTTTAAAAGTTGTGATCATATTCCCTACTTCCCACATTGTACATATGGGAACTAGTTAGGACTTCATAGAGACTCTGAGGTATTGTAGTGATTGCAGTAAGAATCGTAAGAATGAATGTGTTTTTTTGGTGTAAGGAATACTGTTGTATATTTGCGTTAGTGATTGTGGCTTCCTTTTCTTTTTATCTGCCATGTCCTTTCAGGGCGTAGGCGACCATGGCTTTCCATCTCTCTCTAACACTTGCAGCTGTCAACAAGTTCCTTCCCTCTGCTATCTCCACCAGATCACTTTCTGTCATCCACCTACTCAAGCCCGCCAGGAATGTCACGATCTGCTTTCTCTTGTCTCTCTTTCCCTCTATTCGACCCGTGAGTATCAGATTCTTAACGCCCTCTTTCCTCATTATGTGTCCCAGAAACTTCAGCTGCCTCTTCCTGATATTAAGCATGAGCCTCCTACTTGTCTGCATCGTCTCCAAGACTTCATCGTTGCTCCCAAGCTCGATCCACGAAATCCTTAGCATCCTTCTGTAGAACCACGTCTCCGTCGACTCGAGTCTCTTCTTCATCCTTGATGAAATCGTCCA